AGTGTGTTTTCAATAAATTGCATCTACTCAAACTTATACACTTTTGGTAAAAATATATAGGACAATTTAATACTGTTGTGCAATCTAAAGAACAGAATAAGTTCATATGGGTATACTGAAAAGCCAAAAATTAAAAGTTCAGTCTCTTGCCAAAAAATTTAATAAGGGTGGATTGAAAGTTCCTAATTTTGAAGTACAAATGAAATAATTAAAATTGGTTTGGTTACAAGGATATTCATCAATACAAAAGCAAGATGGAGAAGCACAATTCAATCTTACCTGAAGATAAAGTATTAAAATGATCTTATAATTAGCGGAGGTTGTTTGAATAAGCTATATGTATATTTAACCTTACCACAATTGGTTTTGGACCAATATTTTTTTAAAGAAGCTCTTTGGTTCCTTGATAATATTAAAATCAATAATGAACTTGTGTTTCAACTTTTTGCAATCATTTTCTAACATGTAGGAATCAACTACATATATCTAATATAGAAAAACTTTCTTGTCAAAATGAGATAAAATGAGATGTTTCGAATTACTGCATTTTGCTTGCAAAGTCGTGCATACATTCATCGTCAGTATCTAATATGCATGTCATTAGAAAAGTACCAGAATTACACAACTTTAATCTGATGATAAAGAAATTACTCAATTAAAAAGCAGTGCATTGCTCATATAATTTAGATAGTTTTAATGAAATTTGGCAACCAATAGCCAACCAATTTCCCCCATAGCCATCTTTTCCCCCGTAAATCGTATTCTACAGTAGGGTTTCCCCCGAGGGGAAATCTCACACCAGAGCCAAATTCTCCCCTCTTTCTTTCTCAGAGTAGGATTTCACCCCTCGTTATAGAGTCAATATAAACCATATCCACAATATTTTGGTGGGAAAAAAGACAAACGAGAACCTGATTTTTAAAAGGTAGATGAGTGGGTTTTTTCCGACTTGTAAGGCAAATCATAGAATTTCAACCAAAATATATAAATTTTAAAAGAAATGTAAAATTCTCAATATATAATGAAACAAACAAAATTGGTATATATTTTTGGACCTATTTTGGTTGTACAATAAACTTTCTAAAATATTAAAAAATTGTAAACTTACTATGATGTTCAAATTTCCACATTTCTAACTACTGTAACTATTCTTATTAATCTTTACAATTTTTTGGGTCATATTACATTTTCCTTAAATCCCATTTTTGTGAAACCTTTAATGAAAAATTTAACTTTCATTTGACTTATTTAAATAGGACTTGAATTGTAATTTTCAACGTTTATTTGTATCATGTGTCCTTAAATTATATTTTATGGGGGGAATATTGACTCTGTGGGAAATTGCACTCTATAACTACTACAGTACAGGCCACGAGTTTTCCGCAAAAAACACGGGGCCCCGTGGACCGCAAGTCCACGCTTTAGCGTGGACCTCGAACCTTGTCGGCGTCTTTGAAGTCAGCGTTTCTGTGGACCGTGTAACACGGTGTGTAACAGTTCTGATGATTAATATTTTAAACATTCTCATTGCCTTTATTTAATAAAATTACATCAACTTTCTTTCGAAATATTTGTTGTACTTTTTCCATAAATCAATATTGGTAATTTATCGCATACAGATAATTAAACTATTAAGATGCCTTAAAACGAATAACAACGTACTCGTCTCCGGCAAAAAAAATATACAGTCAAGTTAAATACTAATTATATTAGTCATAAAAAGATCAATAGACTATTATTATATTTCATTAAGAGGAAAACGCTTTCATAAATGAATTACTTGATTGTCTCTACTTTGGATTTTGATTTTAACTGTGTTCAATTAAATCGTTGATACAAGATCGTTTTACCCTAGTAGACGTATTACATATCAGATGCGTGATTATACTAAGTGAATTAATTATTTTGTAAGAAATTAAATGTGCATTTACTGTGCGTAGATTAAATTTAAAAAAAGGTATCAGACTCGCACATTAAATTTCTGCTCTTTGATACCGATACTCGGCGAATCATTGGACAGGTTCAGATGGGGATTATTGCTGTTGGACTAACACTAAAAATCTGTACTTATGTAAAATATGGAGATAAATATTTAATGCGGTAAACTCGAAAATCCACTGAACAGGCAGATATAATAATCTGAATAATTTCATTAATTAAAATCGTGATAAACTTAGTAAACACGCTGAATACAAAAATCACAGCCGATTTTTTGGCAAATGAAATGTGCTAACTTCAGTACGAATATTACTTCATTCTGAAATATATCGTGTGAAAAGAAAAAAAAAAACGGTTTGAGAAAACATATAGATATTTAGCGATTTTTAAAAATCCCCCCCCTTTCTAAAAAAGCGATATGAATCAGCTAGTTACAACTTTATCAGAAGTCTGCAAATTTATGTTATGTTTTTTTTTTAAATCTTAATCTACGGGATGTATTCTTATTTGTGACTGAAAAAGGATAAATAAATTAACAAATACATGTAAGTTTATAATTGTTGTTGTAGTGAAACCTGGAAAATGAATTTCGCATATCAGTTGAGTGTGTTATATGTATACACTTGCCGTAGTCAGAGCTAAAGAGTTTGAAAGGTGTGATAAACATACGGCGCCCCTGGCCCACCGGCAGAGACCCAATATATTTTTGAACAGGTGTGAACTCGGAACTGACCATAAGATTGTTTCAAATCACAAGAGAAATTCTTTCCGCGTAAACAGACTTTCAAGGTCACCTAGCGTCATGGGAATTTGATTGGCAGGTGATGCAAGAGAATTTTTTTGCGTACAGCATATACAGAGAACGAATTAATTGCATTAAATGGGTTGAATATAAACAAAAGTTGTGGCAATTAAATAGAATTATAGAATGATTAATTGTGACCTCCGTATCTTAAATAAAACGAAGAATTAAAAAAAAAAATTACAGACTATATGTTAAAAGGGGGTTGTATGAGTCTCTCTTTCTCTCTCTCACTCTCTGGTATAGCTTTTTATACACTTTACAAGAAAAGACAAACAAATCAAAATAACTACTTACACTGAAAGGATTTTAAAAACATAACGTAGTGAATACTACTCTGTGAAAATAATGTTTGCTGTTACGAGAAATACGCTTTGAAATTATTGCATTAATTTCGTGTTTCTGCTGACGATTTTCGCATCCACATTCAGAATAATTCAAGATGAACAAAATAAATGTATTTTAATAAGGAATATACATTGTAATGCTTGGACTAGTACTGTACATGTTAAAACCATAAAACCATAAACATAAATACAGCTCCGATTTAATTTTATACTATACTATGTATGTCAGTGTATATGACACGAATGCATCTCGACACCATTTCGTCTTCCTTTGTTACGTGAACACATGAGATTAAATTATTCATTTAAAATAAAATTCATAATTTTGATTTTGTGACGTGGATGAATAGTTTTACTAAAATATAAATTTCTAGACACATAGTTAATTCAAATGAAAATCTAAAAACAGAGCGTTTCACACGGTGTTTTTTCCACCGAGCGTTGCGGAGAACTCGTGGCCTGTACTGTACATAGAGTAGGATTTCCCCCCGGAAAATTGACTCTGGTGTGGGATTTCCGTAGGGGAAATCCTACTCTAGAGCAAGTTTCCTGGGGGGATCCTACTCTAGAGCAAGTTTTCCGGGGGAAAGGTTTTAGAGGGAAAACCTAATCCACAAGGCCTGTTCCGGTATCAAGCAAACAATTTAAATACATGGTTTTGGTAAGACAAAGCTCTAAAGGTCAGCAAGAGATTTTTTCCGTGTACTGAAAGACGTTACGTCCTTTTATCTATCACGATGATTGTTGTTACTCTTTATGATATAATTAACAGTTTAATTGAATAAGAATTGCAAATTTTACACGATTATGCATCATGCATTTTCAATTTCTTAAAAAAAATTTGAGGTAGACCTTTATTTTAAAAGATAAATAAGAAAAAAATGCAAATATTTTTTTTTGTTAATTACATGTTCTTTGGACACCTTGAAAGAGTGTGAAGTGAGTTTTTGTGTTCAGGCACTAACGGGGACATTATCAGAAGCCCCCTCTAGTTTCTATAAGATTTCGAATTTCATTTCTCTCAAAGTTGAACTGTAATGTGAATTAAATAAACTTTAAAATGTGTAACACCTTCATATTAAAAACATTTAAGCAAATATACTGTTGAAGCACAGATTTTGATGGTATAAATTGTCTTGATTGGTCATCTTAGAGGGTTTTCGTGGACTTTAAAATTATTATTCTGAATGTAACACTTCTCAATATACGTAAAGTCATACAAAAAATGTCGCTTGGAATTCACCTTGATAATAATTGATAATTACAACATATACAACAAAGAACATACGTTTAAAGTTCTTTTAGCGATTGTAACATAATAACACATTAAGCACATTTAAAGTATTTTACTTTTGAAATAAACTCTTAGAAACTCGGTAATAATCAACATTTAAGATTTCTGAAAATAAAACTAAAGAAATTGAAAAGTAATGTAATATATTTTACATTATAACTAGAAATTGAAAGTAATAGACCATAATTGTAATAGAACATTGTAATTGTAATTGCAAATACATGTAATTGTCAAAATTCTTTATATTTTTGGATCTTTCATATGCAATTCCTAAACATGTGAAATCTAAAACCGTAGAACCTCTTTACCGACTACATGTAAATACATATTTCTTTCAAAAATTTATTTTCTTTTTAAGTTTATACTTCTTGAATTCCACACATATCATAATGAAAATAGGGTGATTCAAATAATTACTGTAATAAATATCTTGGAGAGTGCATAATTTATTTAAATAGCAAATGTGTTTAACTGCAGACTTTTATACTCATTTGAATCACGTGTTACTATATTATAGAAAACATTTAGAAAAAGGAGAGAAACATAGCTGAATTTCTAAATTGATATCAAAATAAGTTCATTCAGCATATCTAATTCTTTCTTATTTCTTTCTTTTAGAGCATCTGAAATTCCAATACCGGCTTAATGAAGCACTTGTGTTTTGTTATCTCTGCAAGATAAAAGAAAAATCTAAATTCTTCCTTCCATGTGGCCATTTCTTGACCTGTGAAGACTGCGCTTTGGCCTACAGTCGCTGCCCCTTGAGAGACTGTGGAAAGAAAATAGACAGCACAGAAAATGCACGCTTGAAATAAATTTGAGGTATTTTTTGTTCTTTTTCAGATATTAAATTGTATCTGAAAAATTTTGAATGGGAGAAATTAGCAAAATTTTTCTTTATCAAAAGAAATATTACGGAAAACATACAGTGTTCTTTTCATTGTTAATGACGTTATTTTATATCTACAGGAATTTATAGATACATGAAGAATATGGGCTCCTATCCTGTCGAGAAGATGGATATTATTTATGTAAAACTTTTTTCATAAAAGAAGGAAAATTAGAGCACCAAAATATTATTTAACGGATTTCACTTCTACAAAACTTTTTTATGTGTTATAATTAATTGTTACATCATTTTTTTCTTCTTAAAGTACAAGTATGTCTCATTTTAATTTTTTCATTTTTTAAAATTATGTTTCAATACATTTTAGAAGTGTTCAGGGGAGATAAGACCCTCTGTTTGTTTATATTATGTGTGTGTTGGTTTGTGAGTGAGTGCGTTAATTCTGTGCAAAACGGATTTCGAATGATGTCTTGATTTATACGTAAATATGCTCTTTGTGAGATCACACTGTTTGTTTTTTGTTATATTTTTTGCCTGCTTTTAGTCTAAATATATACTCATCAAGGACATATTTTGTTTTTATATGTAATGATCGATATACAAAACTACTGTGGACTGTAAAATACACAAGTAGATAAGAGCCTGGAAAGATATGTATGACCTAGGAAAGACCTAGGTCATGCATTCTTAGATTCTTAGATTCATCCAATGACCCATCATTGCAAAACTTTCATTGTAGCCAAATTGGAGATTGACCAATACCAATTAGATCCTAGACTTTTGTTCTGTCTGATTTTTAGCCTTTTGATAAATATTTTATGAATAGATTTATAACGATGGTTTGTGCCATACACAGTACAGATAAGGTTACAAATGGAAATATCGGCGACGTTTTTAAGATAAAAAATACATACTTTATAAGGATAGGCGATTCTTTCTAGGACTTCACTGATATAAAAAAATGCAATGTGGTTCAAATCTACATGTTGAAGACAGTTTGTTTTTTTTTTTCATGTAGACTTGTCACGTGATGTCAGAGTGGCATGATTTTAGCAATTATTCTTGTTTAGAGGTCATTTATAAATTCTAATATTGCAAGGTCATAACCAAGTTTAAAATCCTATTTTAATTTATAATTCTTTTCAAAACTAGATGTAGTTTGTTAAAAGTGCTGCGAACCCATGTAGATTCCCGTATTTAATTGTTAAAATTGAATTTGTTGGACGGCAGGTTGGATATTTTGCTGGTCAACAACATTAAATATAGCTATAATTAATTTATTTGCAAGATTTCATGAGGTTCGCAGTACTTTTCAAATATCTTAATGCTTCTTGATTTTATGTGTAACACTTGGCAAATACATTGAGGGTATGCCCTTACAATAAATGGATTTATTAGGGCCCTTCTATTACTTTTTGAATGAATCTGCATACAAACACACCACAGTATCACTTGTCTGGAGAATATATTCCAGACAGCATTTAAGGTAGGACAAAACACCCATGGATTCTATTTTAACCAATTTCTTAAAAAGTACCGGAGAAAAGAAGAATAATATTACTATTTTGACAAAAATGAATGGTCCCTGTAAGAAAAATAATAAGTTTTGGCGTGTTTGCGTCATACTTTGTGAAAAAAACAGAGAATCCTATATATTGGTCACTTGGGGGTTTACATTTTGGAATGTGTTAACGCTATCTAAGTGCAATAAACAAGCATGTAACAGTCTGTTATAAAATGCAGTGTAACTTTTGTTCCATATATATATAGTAGAGAGCTGATATTTGGACACATATATAAGAAGTCGCGATTCTTTGTGTACTACAAAGGTCAAGGTCATATCAAGAGGTCAAAGGTCAAACATTGTGACGTCATCTACTGACTCATTTAGTTTTTTTGCCATTGATATTTTTTTAATCGCCGAAATATATTAAACCACTGGTTCAATTTTCTTTAGTTTTACACATTTTATTCTAGGACCCATTTGAATCATTCTGTTGATTTTATGTAGAAATTGAATAATACATTTTCTCTTAACATGCTTAAGAAACCTTAAACTGTCGGAAATTTACCTGTGAATTTTCAATTCTGACACTATGTATGCTCAATTTTTACTTAATATTTTACTCTAATTTTCCAATATCAAGTTGACTTACTAACTTAAAGCAACAAAAAAGGATATCTTTATTAAAAGTATTAAATAAATTTGCAATAGATCAATTGATTATTCTAAAACAAGGTTCACTCTTAAGTCGAATGTCTGACTTCACAATCTTCTTACAGGGGTTCGATAGGCCATATTTCAGACTATGTGAGCAAAAATTATGCAGTTGAATTTCTTTCATATCATATATAAAGAGAGATTTTGTATCCTAGAACAAAATATCAAAGTTTCATCAAAATTGAATTTGAGGAAAAATTTGACCTATCTATTGTGTCCTACCTTAAATAAAATAGTAAAATAGACATCACATCCAAGTTAACGGTCTTTTATATAACGGCAAATAATATTTAGTTGTGAACAAAAACATTTTTCATTGTACATAATGTGACTTGATCAGCCTCTCGCTGTGTACAAACTGCGTCATTTTTTGCGAGATGACGTCACACTGACAAGTGCATTGTGATCGATGAATCGTGTATATTTAGTTGTGTGGGATTTAACAAACGATAAAACTGCTAGATAGCTGTAGACTACATAAAAACCATTTACATGCAGTAATAGTAAGTTTTTATGCAGTCTTCAGCTATCCAGGAGTTTGAAATAGCAAATAATTTCATTTTGTGGCATTTTGAAGACCTTATATTTTCTGTGACGTCATAGTAAAATTTCCCGTATAAATTAAGCCCCGCCTACTAATTGCAACCTTAATGGTGCTGCGTATCGTATTTTTAGTTCTGAAAAGAGTCAAATCTCTTTTAAATTTGCGCTAGATTAACACAAAAACTTGAGAAAAAAAATATTTTTCAAGACATTTGATGGATTCATTGTTGCAAACTTTTATATCAATAAATAAAGCAATACCATAAATAATTCACTTAATAATTAACGATATTTCTGCCATTATAAAGGCGTAAATGAAGCAAATAAACATTTCCAAACGTAAAAATTTCCTGTTAATTAAGTTTTACACATATTTTATAATAGCTTATCAATAGCCGATAATTAGTGCCGTGGAGTAAAGAGTTGATACTAACGTTGAACTGCGGAACACGGAGACCGGTCCTTTGGATGCGATCTAAATATAGTCCGAGGTCCGATATCGCAGTAGGAACTGGCAGAAAAAAATCTATCGATGCTCAAAAGGTATTTACAGATGCAGATCTAAATTTGACCCTTTAACCTGCAAATTCTTGCATCTCAATACAAATGAAAAAATCTCACACAGGACTTTCTACAAATTAATCAAACATTTTCAGTGAATAGAGGTGTAAATCTTTACATCTTGTACAAAGAAATTACAATTATGCTGTCTTATTTAAAGTCGTCATTTCGATAATTCTTTGGTTGATACAATGACCTTGTCAGCGAATACAATTAATCATCAAGTTAAACACTGATTTACCCTTTTCATACTAATTGAAAATCTTTTTTTAATTGAAGACAAGGGGGTGTCGCAAATGATTTCTATTGTCTTTAAAGGAATGCAATTTATAAATAAAAAAAAAATTAGATTTAATCTTGGGCGTGTTAACTCAACAATCATTTTATTTCTATAAAATACTTGTTTCTGATTGGATAAAAATTATTTTGAGAACTGCATCAATAAAGCAGTAAGCAGCACTAAGCAGCCGGAACTACTTTTTTGTCTTTAGTCTTAATACATGTATATTTCCCGATTCCAGATTACTTTTTGAAGGAATAATTAAATAGTTTTACTTCAATAGATATTTTTCTATATTTCGAAACCTGTCCATTACGTTTCTGACTTATTTCCTACTTTCGTTTCTTTTTTGAATCAGATGTGGATACTTAAAAAAATCTAATGAACTTTTGGACAATTTGAAATCACAAGACTTTTCAAAACTCAACAGCTTAAAAATTTACGACTTTTCAACTTTATACACAACAATTTCCCACGAAAAATTAATATCCAGGCTTTTTGATATCATTGACAGCTGCTTCTTCAATAAAAATGGAACTCTTAAATTTACTTACTTCTTCATTGGTCATTTTGTTAAAACAGATTCTGATTGCACACATAAGTACTCTGAAATTGACATCAAGAAGATGCTTGAGTTTCTAATTGACAATATCTATGTGGTTTTTGGAGACCAGGTATTCCAACAATCTATTGGAATTCCCGTGGGTACAAATTGCGCTCCGTTATTAGCAGACTTATTTTTATATTCATTTGAAGCAGAATTTATGCAAAATCTTATGCGTGGAGAGAAGAAAACACTTGCTGTGGCCTTCAACTCGACATTTAGATATATCGACGACGTATTGTCAATTAATAATGATAATTTCCATTCTTACGTCGATACGATATATCCTGGTGAGCTTGAGATAAAAGATACCACAGAGTCCGACACTTCTGCTTCATATTTGGATATTTTACTTGAAAAAGACACTAATGGTAATCTAACAACCAAGGTATGTGATAAACGTGATGACTTTTACTTTTCTATCGTCAACTTCCCTTACTTATGCAGCAATGTACCTTCATCACCTGCATACGGAGTATATATATCTCAATTGATTCGATACGCAAGAGCATGCTCTACGTATGAACAATTTCTTAAACGAGGTAAATTATTGACAAGCAAGTTGATGAAACAAGAATATCAGCAGTCTCGTTTAAAGTCATCATTTCGTAAGTTCTATGGTCGATACAATGACATTGTCAGCAAATACAATTTATCATTGAGTCAAATGCTGACTGACGTTTTTCATACCAATTGTTAGTCCATTATTTATACACTGAATTGACGACGGTTTTTTTCGTTATTTCCTGATCATGACAAGGAGCACACAGCGGGTGTGACCGGTCAGCAGGGGATGCTCACTCCTCCATGGCACCTGATCCCACCTCTGTTGTTTCGGAGGTCCGTGTTTGCTCTGCTCTTATTTTGTATTGCTTTACGGACTTTGAGATTGAATACTGTTCGTTATCTCCATATCCTTCCTTGAATTATCCCCCCTTTGCTAAACAAACCAAAATCGTCTGCATGACAATATAGTTATGGGAAAGAATGAAGGAAATCAGCATACTTATGTTAAATGAATGTTTTTGAGATAACTGGTATGAACAATAGAACAGTGAAGAAATGTTTTCATGGTACTAAAGATGGAAAAATGCTGTTAATGTGTTAATTCGTAGGAAAGGAATGATCGAGAAAAACGACACCACATGAATGAAGACGGAAATCTTTACAGTCGGCAACAATCTCTTTCAGATTTTACAGCATGGACAGGTTGTAATACATGTACGTATCTATATGTTCGAATTGAAATTCAGATGAAAGGAGGCGAATTGGAAATCCAAAACTTCTGTGACCTAGAAGTAGAACTGTTAGGATATTTGAGTTGCTTTCCTTTACATTTACGAACTAACAGGGGAAAATA